TAGCGAGTAAAACTCTAACACAGAAAATACCTCCCCAAAACGCCTCGTTGGAGATACGTCACTGCCCATTTGAGTCTTCCATTTAGTTCCGGGTACGGCATGATGTCATGCGGTACCCGGAACAAAATGGACCAATCCGGAAGAGCTATGGCCACACCCAGCGGCGCTGGCCGCACCCTCTGCCAGCCTAACATTTACTGTTGGAAGCTCTGGTTCAGTTCACAATCGATCCAGTCATGCCAATGCCAAGGACCTGTTTCCTGAAATGTCAGGGGAAATCTGAGCTGTTTGTCCTACAGGAGAACCACGACGAAGTCAGTGGTTGAAATTTCTGTTTAACACTGTTCCTTCAGAGGTTCGAAGAACGTTACTGTGTGCGCGGCATTTCACAGACGAAAGCTTCCAAAACATTGCCCAGTTTGAGGCCGGATATGCACAGCATTTGAAACTGAAGGACGATGCTATTCCTAGTTTGGTTGGACCGTTTGGAGCAGGGGAAGATTCGGGTACACAACCTGTAAGTTTGCATTGTTATTTGTGTATTTATCAAACAAGACTGTTTAAATGTGTAAACGTGTGTCGAACTGCTAAGCCATTGACACAGTGCTAACTGTGCTAACTAAGTTGCTAGCGTTTCCATATATCAACTGTAATATCAGCAGATGGCCTTACATACATGTATCTCATAGCAGGAGAATGTCTGCATTCACACACGAAATACTCATAGACAGTATACTCCGGGTGATTTACCGTACGGTCAGTCGCAAAACGTAATTACATTATAGCTGGCGTTCCTAGCGTGTATGCTACCGAGCTAACCAACGGAGCTAGACATGGGTTTGCTCGGGAAAACATTGTTGTTATGCCAGCTACAATGTCTGTGTGTCCTGTCTGTCTGTAACTTTGTGTGGTAGTGTTACCACTGACAGGTCTCTCTTGAAAATGAGACCTTGTGTCTCAATGAGATTTTACACCTGTATAAATAAAGGCTAAATAAAAAATAAAAAATGTAGCAGACTACCCGTATAAGATTGCAATTGTAAACACGTTCTTGCTAGCCTAATATGAATCACTAGCTTTTGTTCATAGTGGTTTTATTACACTAAACAAGCCATTGACACAGTGCTTACTGGGCTAACGACGTTGCTAGCGTTTAAATATATCAACTACAATGTCAGCAGATGGCCTTACATGTTTGTCATGGCAGGAGAATGTCTGCATTCACACACGGAATACTCATACAGTATACTCCGGGTGATTTACCGTACGGTCAGTACATTACAGTTGGCTTTCCTCCGAGCTACGCTGATAGCATGTATAGCTAACGAGGCTAGCTATACATGCTAGCGGAATGACCGAACGTAGCAGACTACCCGTATAAGATTGCAATTATAAACACGTTATTGCTAGCCTAATATGAACCACTAGCTTTTGTCATAGTAGTTTTATTACACTACATTATAGTTGCCGTTCCTCCGAGCTACCGTTCATATCGTGTTTGCTACCAAGGTAAACAAGAAAGCTAGGTTATCATATTAGCTGGCAAGCTTACTGTGTTGATTAGATAGATGGATTAGATAGATCCACACTCCTACCACAACTACTACTAACAAATCTAAAACAACTAAGTTTCTCTAATATTTTGTGATTTGCAATTGATTTCGTCCAGCCAGATCCTGGCGGACAATACATGACGGGGACGGGACTACCACACTGATGCCTCGTCCTAAAAAGCCCCGACTGCGATAGGCAAGATGCCGACAACGGGGAGGAATGGATGATATACCGTGTATATATGTATATTTATGTTCATTTTGTACATTTCTAAAAATAAAGTTTGATGGAAATACTTAGTAGGCCTATCCTTTCTTCCCTGAATTATTTGCTCCTATAACATATCATTCATATATAGCAAACCATGATTTGATTTCTCATCAAACAGTAGTAGTTTATTACAGGTAAAAATAACGTACTCTTCTATAACAACAGTTGTAGGTACAGTTCGGTTAGTTAGCGTTTAAAATATACGGCTGTACCGACGCCATTATAAGACTGATGTTCCGCTCAGATCAAGCCGAAAAAAGCACTGTTAGACATGGGCGGAGCCTCTCTGGTGGTTGACTAATCAGAACAGAGTGGCCGAGCTGACCAATCGGAGCACACTAGGCTCACAGGGAGGGGGGGGCAAGAGCTCCAACGAGCCGTTTAGTGGAGAGAGTGAATACTGCTGAATACACATACTTTACAGAGATGCTGTATGCGAAACCAATGTGAGTTTGGAAAATTGCACAGTATAAATCTATTTTAGTATACCTCAACAATGGAATTATGATGAGTGGAAATGGCCATGACATGGGCCCTTTAATATTTGAAAAATCATGAATGTGTTTTTTTTTCATTTATGCAGTTGTGGAATGTTACTTTTGCATGTATTCAAGTGCTGAACTTAATTACCATTTTGCCACACTTTTTTTTCATTTATTTGTACACTTCTATTCTCTGCTATCTTATACTTCTACTCTTCTACATCATATCAATTTGATCTATTGTGCTACCTCCTTCTTCACTGACAAAATTCAGAAAATTAGACAAGCAGTCAGTGCCTCTACATCAGGTACAGCAAATGTTTTGTCCCTATGTCCACCTAATATCAATTCAAACACCATGACACAATTCCATCAGATTAATGGTAAAAACTTAGAGGACATTATTCAACTTCTGAAATCCTCCTCCTGCTGCCTTGATATTATTCCAACAGGATTTTTCAAAGATGTTTTTCCTTGCATGGCCTCAGATCTACTTCATATAGTAAACACATCTCTTCACTCAGGTATTTTTCCAGAGGCCCTGAAAACTGCAGTCATTAAACCGCTCTTAAAAAAGAATAATCTAGATGCCTCAGTAATGAACAATTACAGGCCAATATCAAACCTGCCATTTCTAGGTAAAATCATTGAAAAAGTAGTATTTCAACAGTTGAGTAACTTCTTGCATTTAAATAACTGTTTGGATGTGTTCCAGTCAGGATTTCGTCCAAACCACAGCACTGAGACTGCTCTTGTAAAGGTCTTCAATGACATCCACTTAAACACAGACAGTGGCAGAACTTCAGTGTTAGTATTATTAGATCTCAGTGCTGCATTTGACACTGTTGACCACAACATATTACTAGACCGACTAGAAAACTGGGTGGGACTTTCGGCAACAGTTCTAAATTGGTTTGAGTCCTACTTAAAGGACAGAAAAAACTTTATTTCTATAGGTAAATACACATCTGAGTTGACAAATATGACATGTGGGGTACCTCAAGGCTCCATCTTGGGGCCTCTTCTCTTTAACATCTACATGCTACCACTGGCTCAGATAATGAAAAACAACAAAATAAGTTACCATAGCTATGCGGATGACACACAAATTTACGTAACAATTTCACCAGGAGATTATGCTCCAATTCAAACACTGAGTAAGTGCATTGAACAAATCAATGACTGGATGTGTCAGAACTTTCTCCAATTAAACAAAGATAAAACTGAGGTAATGGTTTTTGGAGCCAAGGCAGAACGTATAAAAGTTAGCGCTGAGCTTCAGTCTGCAATGTTCAAAACAACAGATAAAGCCAGAAATCTAGGTGTAGTCATGGACTCTGACCTGAGTTTCAACAGTCACATTAAAACAGTTACTAAATCAGCCTACTATCACCTAAAGAACATATCTAGGATTAAAGGACTAATGTCACAGCAGGATTTGGAAAAACTTGTCCATGCTTTTATCTTCAGTAGACTCGACTACTGCAATGGTGTCTTTACAGGCCTCACTAAAAAATCTATTAGAAAGCTGCAGCTAATTCAGAACGCCGCTGCTCGAGTCCTCACTAACACTAAGAAAGTGGATCACATCACTCCTGTTCTGAAGTCTTTACACTGGCTTCCTGTGTGTCAAAGAATAGATTTCAAAATATTGTTGCTGGTTTATAAAGCTTTGAATGGTTTAGGCCCTAAATACATTTCTGATCTACTGCTAAATTATGAACCATCCAGAACCCTCAGGTCTTCAGGGACTGGTCAGCTTTCTGTCCCCAGAGTCAGAACTAAACATGGTAAAGCAGCGTTCAGTTATTATGCTCCGAATATCTGGAACAAACTCCCAGAAACCTGCAGGTCCGCTGAAACTCTTACTACTTTTAAATCCAGGCTGAAGACTTTTCTTTTTGCCGCTGCTTTTAATTGAACTATTCACATCTTAAACTGCACTGTAACTTTTAACTTTTATCCATGTATTTTTTCTTTTAATGTTTATTTTATTATCTTTCCTTTTTAATGACTGATTTTAAATGCCATTTTTAAAATGTCTTCCATTTTTGTAAAGCACTTTGAATTACCTTGTGTTGAAAGGTGCTATATAAATAAACTTGCCTTGCCTTGCCTTGCCTTGCCTTGAAGATATTGATCAGATAGCCTTTGTTACATATTAACTTTTACATCAGTAAAAAAACATGTAATATTGTTAGTGTGATATGATGCAGTCCTGTACTACTAACCTACTCAATAGTAGGGCAGTGTATGCGGCAGCCTGAGGAACAGCAACGTTAAAATGCTCGAACATGTAGCCTATTCATTTGCGATAAAAACGGAATAATACTATTAATTAATAATACAACCCAGAGTTTTTGCATTATGGGTAGTTTTTTAATCTTCAAGTAGCCTACAGTTTTACACTAGAGTACGTTTGTGGTACTAAAGCTATGTATTGTAGGATGTGTACTTGTAGGCTAATGGCATTGTTATACACTGTTGTACAAACATTTGATAAGTAAATTATTACCATTTTTTTGGATACTTGTTACTGTTAGATGACTGAGAACTCATAACGAGCCACAGCATCTTATTTTGAAACTCCTAACCGGATGTTGACCGTGCTCATAGTATTTGATTGGCTACTCTCCTGTGTGTGAGTAGCGGATCCCTGTTGAACTTTCTCGGTGCAGAGCACCAGAGCAGTAATACCCGGCGGTAAGAGGCTTATCCGCCCGGCTGAGCGCTGTGTCGGTTGATTGTAAAACTGAACTCCGGGGATTTTATTCCCGCAGGAAAGACGGAGCGACGCTTCCCTCTTAAGGTAAATGTGAATATCAGGTTATTTTTCGGGCTTTTTGTGGTATTTTCTCCCTGGGTTTAAACGTGGTGAGGGGTCGGTCGCTGGCAGCTGCCTACCTGTTGAATAGACCTACTGCTTTCTATTATGTGAAAAACAAAAAGAGGGAAAACTGACCAGTCTAACTTTTTATCTGTAAACATAATGGCTCCACTGCGCGTGACACTCCCTTTGGTTTCAACATGTGGAGAGAAACATCCAAACATGCTCACTTTACTACACACCTTTTACAGACCTCACCACCAGCTGGGTTTTAGCCAAATAGTATCATCTGGTGAAGCACTAGGTAGCAGGATCATGATTTTTCTCTTGGTGCTGCTCTTATGTGGGACAGTGTAGGATTCATTCAGCCATCCGATGAGCCTTGAAAGGGTCAACATCACCAAATGATCTAAATTCTCATGAGAGTTTAACAGGAGCAGTCCAAAAAATCTAATCAGTGATGAAGGAAATAATACACGTTTTGGAAACGCACCCAGTGACTCACACTACCTGCAGATCTCCAGGAATAAACTCATCCTGGGGCTAAACCCAGAGCAGGTCACAGCAGCGGGCAGGCCGCCAGAGTCCTGCTGTCTGACAGGGAGAGAGAACACAGAGATACAGAGAGGTCCAGCTACACCATGGGACAGTTTGATCTGAAGGAGGACAGATCCAGAGCTCCAGGTGCATCATGCTTATTAGCGGACAGAGGTTTGTGGGAGTCACATTTATTAAAGCCTGTCAGAAAAGGCATTTTATTATCCTGAGTGGAAGTGGCTTTGCTTTTTCTGGATTAGACTAGAAAGAGACAGATTTGTTCCACTCGCACCGATCACTCACCCGGAGAGGGAGTCTCCAGGACAGAGGGCTGATCTCAGCTGCAGTTGCATAACCGAGGGAAAGACAATTCAAAGATGTTTTATTTCTCATCTGTGCGTTTCTGTAGTGGCTACACCTTTTTTTTTATGTTTTTGATTACTTTTTAAACTATTCTAATGAAGCTTGGAGAGAAACAGAGACAGGGGGAGAGATTTGATCTCAAGCCTGTTTACAAAGTAACCCTTTTTTAACGCCCCGAGAGATGAATCAGAGCTTCTGATGACTCAATCATACATTTCCTCACCAGTGTTCTACATGAACATGAACTTATTCTCAGATATTGTGCAGTTTTTAACTGTTTTTATTTGAATAATATATAGATCAAACCAAATCTGGATGAGTTTGATGGAAGATGAAATCAGCTTAACTTTTTTTTGGTAAAAACAAACGGATTAGCAGACAAGCAAAAGGCGTTTTGTCAACAGTCTCCTGCTGTGCGTAATTACGCATGACGAAGGAGAGTGAGAGGATCACAACAATGAGAGGAGCGGCATACTCCGTCTAGTGTCTGTCCTGGAAGATGACAGGGCTCACTGTCTGTCCTGGAGGACACATGTAGCACTAATGGAGCTGAGAGCAGAAACAGATGTCAGGTCAGTGAGTCTCCTCTGAGGCTCATTGCATCATCAGCAGCGTGCCAGTAAAGAAAAGTGAAGCTAAGAGAACACCAATTTTGAGTTATTTAGACACAATTAACACTTATAGTTTCATGTCTTGTTACATAAGAATAGATCATATTTGTTAAGTGTTATTATGGGAGAATTACTATTCTTGTGGTATTACTGCCTTAAAAGGCCCATATTGAGCAGAGCATATTAAGACCCAAACTCATATACAACAACTTCCTTACTTGCAATAAATAAGCACCAATTAGAGGGTTATTGAGGAAAAACTCTCAACTAATGGCTTATTACTTGTAGAATATGGTCATGTAGAATAAGGCATTAATAGGTGTTTTATAATGACTAATAAAGAGCCAATATACTGCTAATATGCATGTTGATGAACAACTAGTTGATGGTTAATTTGTGTACCTTAATATAAAGTATTACCCATACTTTTTACCATGGCTGAAACAAACAGCTTTTTTCATTATTTTTTCAAATAGTCGGTTCGTAGTATTGTCTATAAATGATCAAACAATTCAAAATAGCTAATGACAGCTTCTCAAATTGACGTCTTCAAATGTCTTGTGTTGTCAACAATCCAAATACATTTTGTTTAAATTATATAAAGAAATGCAGAAAATCTGAGACATTTGAGAAGCTGAGACTAAACACTGTTTGGCATTTTTCACAATTTTATCTTGATAAATGAAACATTAAGTCCTCCAAATCGTTGATTATTTTTTCTATCAATCAATAAATCAATTAAACGATTATGACATGACTGCACTAGAACAACGACTACCTTTTTTTAGCTTTGTTTGTACAGTACAATGTAAAATTAAATCGAGTTACAAAACTCATTCGATATTTTTTCCTCCTGAATGCTGAAAATACAATTTCAACATCTTTGGCTTCTCAATAAGCAAAATATGATTCTTGATTCATGGCTTAACTATTTTTAAATATTGTATGCAAAGAAATCTCGTCAATATTTTGAGGGGTGATGGAGACGTGGTTCATCATCATGACTTCAGCCGACAGATTTATGACTCAGCTGTCCTTATTTGGATGAATTATTCCTTAGAAGCATTACAAAGGAAGGTCGCCCACATCCCATCATCCTTCTGAGTCAAACAGCAATTTACCTCAGGAAATTATCCATAAACTGTAACTTCATCAGTTCAACAGAATATGACTCCACCCTCTGAACCAGTTCTGACTGGTTCAAATCTACACTGGTGGTATTTTTACGAGCATTTGCATTGTTATGGTACATTTTTGTGACGTTGTTTTTGTGGACTTTATTGCAGCCGACTGTCTACGTCCTCCCTTCATTAGACAGGGTAGTTTGTTAACAGATGTTTGACCGTTTGTTCCACTCCTTTGCTTCCATTTGTGCGGCATAAATGTTAACTCTAAAAATAGAGCAGACAAGTTAATAAGCATCTTCTCTGATGTTTCTGAGGTCAGGGGATGCGAGATGTTTTCTCATGTTTTGATGGATCATGGGGTTGGAGGGAGAGGCGAGAGGAAAGACTCATTAAGACTCATTATGATTAAAGTTTTTTCACATTTCAAATGTATTGACAATCTGTGATGTTCTGTGAGTTCCAGAGATGAACCTTACTACACGTCAGTGTCAGTGGGTTTTTAATGGATACAACCAGATACGAGTCTCATCCAGTTTTACCTTCTCCTTTTCTGTTTTAGCCCTGAACCTAATACAATCCATTTATAATCTTCACCAAAACATTTTCTACATTTCACCCTATCTCAAGCATGTAAAAGCTAATACCAAAACACAAACATTTTAATGTTATGCTCAGTGGGGGAAATTCATAGTGACTCTTTTTTCTTTTTCAGACAATTAGAGTTAATGGTTACTTTGCATGTTAAGATGTCACATCTTAAACATATGATCATCAATCAGTTAAAGTGAGCTTCACCTCGACCATCTGAAGGAAAAGATAAAGTGTCTACAACCATGCTAGAGATTCTTTGAGCTAAATGCTAACACTAGCATGGTAACTTACACTGACAGTAACTATGCTAACATGCTGAGGCTAAGCAGTTACAATGTTAACCAATAGTAAGGCGTGTCAGCAGCTAACATTGAGGATGCTGGGGACATCAACGTTTGCAGATATTTTGCCATGAACCAAAATTGAGGTTTAGGCGCCGTTTACACGAGGAGAAAACTGCTTGTATCTGCATAGTTTCGCGTGCGTATAGCCCTATTATTTACACGAGGCCGATAGAAACTGACCCCACAAACGATAACGGGTCCCAAGGTGGATAGATTTGCAAACGAAACGCTCTGGGGGGTCAACCGAGTCCGTGTAATCACCTCTATACGAATATTTCCTGAAAAAATAACGATAGCCCCACCTCTCCCCACCTCTCCTGCTCACTGTTGTAGCAACTATCAAAAATAGCTGTGTTAATTAAACGCACAAGGGGTTCTTGAATGAAATAATATTATAAAAGGCAAACCAGAATTGTTAACGCCCAATATACTCCTTAAACAAAATAAACAGAGTCAGATTTCATGCATTGATCCATTATATTGACAATTTTCCAGCCAAACAACACAAACAAAATTAAAAAGTCCGCTCTGCGATACACCAAAATTGTCTTTACTGCCTAATCCAGGCCATTATTGTTCACGAGGACCGGCGTATCCCAGAGGAGCGATCTCACCCGGTGTTTGTAGAGAATATCTCTCTTTCTGAGCGCGTCCTCTCCACGGAGACGTGCTTCTTGGTCGGTCGATGCAATATCCACAGATTCGGTTTCTTTCAGTTAACTTCCCCGTTGCATTTATCCATATGCTGAGGAAATGACTATATCCCGCTGAATACCAGCAATTGCCACACACTTCCTCCTGTCAGTAGCTACTGCTAGTGCTACTGCTACTGACCATGCTACAGATATTAGTGCACAAATATACAGCTCCTCTACCACAACCATCAGCAACAAGTGGACATGGAGAATTACATGAACTACATGTTGCTAAATACACCGCGGGGCATAAACAGAAGGGTAGCCATGGCAACATTGCTGCGGGGCTGCTCCAGGCTGCTCTTCTTCGCTGCTTTTGGTGTATTTTGGCGGAAGTTACAGCGCCACTTACAGTCCCGGCATATGTACTACAGCGTTTCCAGCGGTCTCGTTTGAACAGACACGTTAAATGAAACGAATGCATGTGAACGGAAGACTTTTTTGAATACGCATACTGTGCATAAACGCAAACGTTCCCATGTGAAGGAGGCCTTAATAGAAGGCATCCTAGGATGGAGGTGAAAGGAGCTCCCCCCCCATGGCCACCCCCACGGAGCCTCATCTAATGAACTCCTGCTGGGAATGTTACTTAGCACCTGAATGCTGCAGAACACCCTCAGGACTTTACGTCTGTCTCTGGCAGTCATTTGGTAAAATGTAGTTTGACCTTTTGTGTAAATAGCAGATAGTTTTTTCCCCTTTACTGTGAAGTCT